TTACGTCTTCAGGCGTATTGGGCATATAGGGCCAGACCTACTTAATATACCATTCGGCACTTGATAGGTGATTTGGTCAGCAACACATAGGCCGCCTTTACTTCCCAGGACTTTACTTGGTGCCTATTTAAGCCTGGGTCGATCTGGGAGCCAAGGTCATGTGTAAACAAATGTCCGGCTCTATCAGAACTTGAACGCACGATCTCAGGCGAGCGCTTGCCGCTACACCACGTCGGTTTCCAATTCGTATATGCTTAGGCATAAGTCGAGAATGAAGAACTCTACATTCCAAATTGTGCTCTGCCGAGTGCTCATTTGAGAACCAGTGGTCACAGACTGAGCACATATAGTCTGCCAATGACAACAATACAATCAGACACGACAAACTAGTTTTGAAATTGTAGTCACAGTTTAACCAACTATTGCGAAAGCACCATGTGTAGTTTTCTGTCTGTCATACTCCGCTCCCGTTTAACTCATAAGTAGGCCAAGTTCATTTGTATGTACCCTATAACTGTCTTAAACGTTCAAAGCTACGTCATAAGTCACAGTCAAAGAAATGTTTTCCAGAAACTATATTCAATCTTAGTGGCTTGATAAAAGCCCTATGATATTTTCAACCAAATTCCCAAAGTTACATTATGATTATAAAAACAAATTAAATAGTCAATTACCGTAGAAATAGCAAATATAGATTGCTAAAGGGAAACCTGTTTTGTTATCTTGTCTGTCCTGTTCTAGAAATGGACGTATTTAATGCTGGATCGATAACTTAGATTCGTTATTTGATAAAACGTTTCAGATTAAACATTTATATTTTCTCTGTACACAATATTTGATAACACCATAACTAGGGCACATATTCTTTCAGCTTTGTACAATATATGAAAACAATGTATCCCCGTTGTGAACTTGAACAAAGAAGACACAAACAATAGATTTATTGCCTAGCACATTTTGCTGTGTCTCGTCGAGTGTAAACTACAGTAACAATTGATTAGAAATGACATGCTCTTCATCATGAGTTTACCCTGTTGAAAAAGTTTTTGATTGTAGTCGATTCTGTGTTTCAGTTCGAAGCATTCATTTATTTGCTTCATTTTAATCAACTGTACAGTATGTTATAGCGATATACAAATCTTTCATTTGTAGCCATTCCGATATTTTTACATGATAGATAGCTACATAATTACTCAGTACCAGTACATACATACACACAGAAATGAATGCATAAACACACACATACATGCATACACACATACGTACGTACATACATACATACATACATACATACATACATACATACATACATACATACATACATACATACATACATACATACATACATACATACATACATACATACATACATACATACATACATACATACATACATACATACATACATACATACATACATACATACATACATACATACATACATACATACATACATACATACATACATACATACATACATACATACATACATACATACATACATACATACATACATACATACATACATACATACATACATACATACATACATACATACATACATACATACATACATACATACATACATACATACATACATACATACATACATACAAACATACATAAATACATAATACATACAGACAGACAGACAGACAGACAGACAGACAGACAGACAGACAGACAGACAGACAGACAGACAGACAGACAGACAGACAGACAGACAGACAGACAGACAGACAGACAGACAGACGGACGGACGGACGGACGGACATGCATGCATGCATGCATGCATGCATACATTCATTCATACATACATACATACATACATACATACATACATACATACATACATACATACATACATACATACATACATACATACATACATACATACATACATACATACATACATACATACATACATACATACATACATACATACATACATACATACATACAGACAGACAGACAGACAGACAGACAGACAACAGACAGACAGACAGACAGACAGACAGACAGACAGACAGACAGACAGACAGACAGACAGACAGACAGACAGACAGACAGACAGACAGACATGCATACAAACATACATAAATACATAATACATACAGACAGACAGACAGACAGACAGACAGACAGACAGACAGACAGACAGACAGACAGACATACATACATGCATACAAACATACATAAATACATAATACATACATACAGACAGACAGACAGACAGACAGACAGACAGACAGACAGACAGACAGACAGACAGACAGACAGACAGACAGACAGACAGACAGACAGACAGACAGACAGACAGACAGACAGACAGACAGACAGACAGACAGACAGACAGACAGACAGACATGCATACAAACATACATAAATACATAATACATACAGACAGACAGACAGACAGACAGACAGACAGACAGACAGACAGACAGACAGACAGACAGACAGACAGACAGACAGACAGACAGACAGACAGACAGACAGACGGACGGACGGACGGACGGACGGACGGACGGACGGACGGACATGCATGCATGCATGCATGCATGCATACATTCATACATACATACATACATACATACATACATACATACATACATACATACATACATACATACATACATACATACATACATACATACATACATACATACATACATACATACATACATACATACATACATACATACATACATACATACATACATACATACATACATACATACATACATACATACATACATACATACATACATACATACATACATACATACATACATACATACATACATACATACATACATACATACATACATACATACATACATACATACATACATACATACATACATACATACATACATACATACATACATACATACATACATACATACATACATACATACATACATACATACATACATACATACATACATACATACATACATACATACATACATACATACATACATACATACATACATACATACATACATACATACATACATACATACATACATACATACATACATACATACATACATACAGTGCGGGTTTCTAACAAGCATGTCGCTGAAGGCGACTAATGAGGTATGTTAGGGAAGTCGGAATGCATCTGCCCGAGAAGAACCAAGAGTCTGCATACAAATAGGTCATATCAGTAAAACGGATGTGACTGCAAAATTCAAGTTCTGCAACAAGAGCAAAGTCCAGAAATGGAGGGGAGCCCTGAGAAGCAAATGGTTACTATTCTTGGCAGGTGCTGTAATAACAGCATTATATTTGTAAAGTTAAGGTCCTTGTTCCAAGCGTTCAGGCGAATGAGGAAGACAGGGCAAGACCTATGTTTGTACAGACCACTCGGCACTTGGTGGGTGAAGTGGTCAGCATCACGCCGGCCGACTTTACTTCCCAGGACTGCACCTGGCACCCACTCAAGGCTGGTTCGATCTGGGAGTCAAGGTCATTTTTTTTTAAAGTAAGGAGCACTGTATTAGTTATAATATAATATATAACGGCATGAATTACATTATTTTTCTGTTTCACTTCCTCTTCTACCGCCTAGGGTATCGGGGAGGATACAAGATTTGACTTCATCCCTTTCTGGCTGCCTTGACCATAAAGACCATCCGCCATTGCAGTTTTTCTTATGTCATTTCTGCATCTTGTTCTTGTTCTACTTCGTTCCAATTTTATCTCATGCAGTCACTCTTGCAACCTTTCTAGGCATCTCATTTCCATGGTTACTAGTTGTCTTTTCTATTTTGTTGTGAGTGACCATGTTATGCACTGAAGCATAGGGTGGAGGTAACTGTTTCTCTGTATAACATGTTTTTTGTGTTCTGATTTGGACTGGCTTATGCTGTAAAAGGAAGAGGTTTGGGGAGGGGAGCTAGCTGTCCCAGTACTTGGTTTGTATCACTGCACTGGACGTTATTTTCTGTATCCAGTTTGCTGCAAAGCATTACCATAACCGTTCGCTAAATCGTCTTTATAAGGACATAATGAAATACCTAAATGCCAGCAGGTTCAACCGTCTTGGACATCATCTTCATTTAGATGAAAACATCTAAAAAGAGCATAAAATGGGACTAGGAAAAACAATCAAAGAATGAAATGGGGAAAAAACGCCCACAAATACACCATGATGCTTCGACCTAAGTTTTATCACTTAAATACTCAATACAACACAAACTGTGACTAAAAAACGCAACGGACAATCAATGCCAACATGAAACCAACAAACACGCTGTAGGAAAAAATATTAACGTGATAGTAAAAGTAAAGTAAAGGACCCTTTCCACACCATTTGGTGTATAGGGCATATAGGGCTAGCCTATATTTTTATAGACCAATCGGCACAAGATGGGTGATGTGGCCAGCATCACGCCAGCTGTCTTTACTTCCCGGGATTGCACCCGGTACCCACTCAAGGCTGGGTAACGTGATAGGCATATTGCAAAATGAAATAAGTAAGAAGGCGTTTAAAAAAAACGTGTTAGTAATATAACTATGTGCAAGTTCAGATCTGGTATCTGAAAGTTGTTGTTATTTGGACTGCAATCTGAAACACAACTCTACCAGCGCCATGTCGTCAGGCTTTCTCATGGCAGGTCCGGATATTGAGGGAAAGTTATATATTTATCATAATCATCATCACCATCATCGTCATCACTCTACTGCCGTTACAGCTCTCAGATTATTCTTCCACTCCGTTCTATACTGCGTAATAGGTTTAAATATCCAGTCCAGCTCTTTTGAGCTTTCATAACAATCTGTGTCTTAGGGTATATGTGACGTCCTCGTTTCTTTAATCTATTGTTGTCCATTTAAGTGCCGTGTGGTTGTGTGTAACATATATTATTAAATTGTCACTAAGTCATGTAATTATCTCCAGTATGTATCAGCTGCGATCCTAACCAGCGATTAATTATTATCACAAAGAGATTAACTCAAACAAAAAGCAGACATCTACATACTATGATCTACTTACAGAACAGCCGCCCAAATCTCCAGTCGACAAGCAGGTAGCTGACACTCAGTGTGGGTAGACACACCAACAAATACAAGATATCCGCCACTGACAGATTCAGCAAGTATAAGTAAGTGACTCTTCGCATTGTGACGTAACGGGAAACTGTGTAGATGACAAGGGCGTTTCCAATCAACCCCACCAGGAAAATGACAGCAAAGATCGACAGTATCACAATTCTGCTCCTGGAAATAAGGGCAGGTGTTATCTGACTGCTGTTGTTGACTGATCCAAAGTCATAAACTGTAAACAAACTGAGGTCAAGGCTGGATAGATTGACATCAAAACTATCATAGTTGAAAAGATACTGCTCTCTGAAGTCAGAGTTTTCCGAAAGGGAAACCTCTGATTCTGCAGGGTCGTTTTGGTGCTCGTGTCCATGGTCATCAAAGCTGATTTCTGCGTATGACATTTTCTCCATGGTCAAATGTAAATTTTTTTTAAAGATTTGCAGTCTGCTATGTTCTTTTTTGATCCAAATCAACTGTCATAATATGTTCGTGATGTCAGCTCTCTGATATTCTTAGTTACAGAAGTTCAGTCCCTCTTCAAACTAGTCGCTCCGTTTAATGCATGTACATAGTTCTCAAGATTTTCCTTCTGCTGTTCTCTTTACTGAACCTTATGATAAGAGTTTATAGAAAATTCAGGCTCACTTCTGCTTCTTTTGAGAGCTATGACAGCCCGAACTGCTGTATTCTGGTCAAGTACGAAATGACTCTTCTCTGACCATCGGAGATCAAGGAAAACTGACCTCACCAAAGCAAAATGCGCGCTATTATCAGAAATCTGCCAGATTAAATATTTCCGCGAATGCAGCTCGTTACTCGTGAATGTTTTGAAAGTTTCTCTGATAGCGCACAGATCACAAGGGACGCGCGTCGATTGTCGTCACAGGGCCCGAAGCTCGTGCGGCGTTGGTATTGATCGGCCTTCGGTTGGTCGGGATAATCCTGGATACCTGGGGGTTTGTCTCTCCATGGATGACGACACTCAAAATGACGGCCAAACCGGGCCGTCTTAAGACCAGAAGGGGACTGATTGTGGGATAAATTATCTGGCCGGGTAATCGGCTTTCCCAATGTCTTCTCTTGTCCTTCGACATGTATTTTTAACTCTGGGTCTGAATTCATTCACGCAGGTTGGTATGTTTGAATAAGAGTGCAGGTGCAGATGTGGACATGCAAGCATGCACTAGAGATTTAAACGTAAAGATACATACAGGGACACGAATACATTCACAGACATTTAGACGTAAAGATACACATGCATGAACACGCATAAACTCATAGACAGATAGATGTACAGACACATACACGAACCTCATAATGCATAGACATATAGAAGTACAAATGCAGACATGGACACATTCATATTCAAACAGACGCACAGATAACCGATGTCAAACTTCAGGAAGCAAGCTTGATTACATAACAGTCGATCTGTCTATATGCCTGTCAGTCTGCATGCCTGTCTGTCTATTTTCAGTCAATCAGGCTATCAGTGAGTCATTAATGTTGCCTGTCAGTCAGCCTGTCTGTCAGCCAGTCTGTCTGTCTGTCTGTCACTCAGGATGTCTGTCATTCTGTCAGGCTGTCAGTTAGCCTAGCTGTCAGTCAGTCTCACATTCTGCTTGTCAGTCAGTCTACCCGTCAATCAATCTGCTTGTCAATTATTCATTTGTCCTTTCTAATATTCGACCTTTCTCATATTCGACCAATCTAATATTCGACTTTTCTAAAATTCGACCTTTCTAATTTTCGACCTTTTTAATATTCACCTTTTCTAACATTTGACCTTTCTAACATTTGACCTTTCTAACATTCGACCTTTCTAACATTCGACCTTTCTAACATTCGACCTTTCAAATATTCGACCTTTCTAACATTCAACCTTTCTAACATTCGACCTTTCTAACATTCGACCTTTCTAACATTCGACCTTTCAAATATTCGACCTTTCTAACATTCGACCTTTCAAACATTCGACCTTTTTAACATTCGACCTTTCAAATATTCGACCTTTCTAACATTCGACCTTTCAAATATTCGACCTTTCTCATATTCGACCTTTTTAATGTTCGACCTATCTAATATTCAACTTTTCTAATACTCGATTTTTCTAATATTCGTCTTTTCTAATATTCGATCTCTGCTCAGGAACGGACTAACGACGAATGCTGGAGTTAAGCTGTAATAAGTTTGAACTCTTGGGGGTTCTAGTTCCGGTGTTGCGGACGGTAATTTTATCATCCCCGGTACTTCAAGCATTTCATCCTCTGTACCAGAATAACAAGACAGAATCCCCAGATACTTTGTTCAGCCCCTATAGAAGTTATAGTTATGGTTCTAGTAACGGCTACAGCAGTAGGGTGTACCATGGAAGTTATTGTTATGGTTCTAGTTATGGCTACAGAAGTCATGTTACCATGGAAGTTATTGTTATGGTTCTAGTTATGGCTACAGAAGTCATGTGTACCATGGAAATTATGGTTACGGTTCTAGTCACCGCTACAGCAGTCAGGTGCACCATGAAAGTTATAGTTATGGTTCTAGTCACCGCTACAGCAGTCAGGTGTACCATGAAAGTTATAGTTACGGTTCTAGTCACTGCTACAGCAGTCAGGTGCACCATGAAAGTTATAGTTACGGTTCTAGTCACTGCTACAGCAGTCAGGTGCACCATGAAAGTTAGAGTTACGGTTCTAGTCACTGCTACAGCAGTGAGGTGCACCATGAAAGTTAGAGTTACGGTTCTAGTCACTGCTACAGCAGTCAGGTGCACCATGAAAGTTATAGTTACGGCTCTAGTCACTGCTACAGCAGTCAGGTGTACCATGAAAGTTATAGTAACGGTTCTAGTCACTGCTACAGCAGTCAGGTGCACCATGAAAGTTATAGTTATGGTTCTAGTCACGGCTACAGCAGTCAGGTGTACCATGGAAGTTATAGTTACGGTTCTAGTCACCGCTACAGCAGTCAGGTGTACCATGAAAGTTATAGTTACGGTTCTAGTCACTGCTACAGCAGTCAGGTGTACCATTAAAGTTATAGTTACGGTTCTAGTCAACGCGACAGCAGTCAGGTGTACCATGAAAGTTATAGTTACGGTTCTAGTCACCACTACAGCAGTCAGGTGTACCATGAAAGTTATAGTTATGGTTCTAGTCACCACTACAGCAGTCAGGTGTACCATAAAAGTTATAGTTACGGTTCTAGTCACCACTACAGCAGTCAGGTGTACCATGAAAGTTATAGTTACGGTTCTAGTCACGGCTACAGCAGTCAGGTGTACCATGAAAGTTATAGTTATGGTTCTATTCACTGCTACAGCAGTCAGGTGTACCATGAAAGTTATAGTTACGGTTCTAGTCACCACTACAGCAGTCAGGTGTACCATGAAAGTTATAGTTATGGTTCTAGTCACCACTACAGCAGTCAGGTGTACCATGGAAGTTATAGTTATGGTTCTAGTCACCACTACAGCAGTCAGGTGTACCATGGAAGTTATAGTTATGGTTCTAGTCACGGCTACAGCAGTCATGTGTACCATGAAAGTTATAGTTACGGTTCTAGTCACCACTACAGCAGTCAGGTGCACCATGAAAGTTATAGTTACGGTTCTAGTCACTGCTACAGCAGTCAGGTGCACCATGAAAGTTAGAGTTACGGTTCTAGTCACTGCTACAGCAGTCAGGTGCACCATGAAAGTTAGAGTTACGGTTCTAGTCACCGCTACAGCAGTCAGGTGCACCATGAAAGTTATAGTTACGGTTCTAGTAACCGCTACAGCAGTCAGGTGTACCATGAAAGTTATTGTTACAGTTCCAGCCACGTCTACAGCAGTCATGTTAGTTAGTTAGTTAGTTAGTTAGTTAGTTAGTTAGTTAGTTAGTTAGTTAGTTAGTTAGTTAGTTAGTTAGTTAGTTAGTTAGTTAGTTAGTTAGTTAGTTAGTTAGTTAGTTAGTTAGTTAGTTAGTAGTAGTTAGTTAGTTAGTTTGTTAGTTAGTAGTTTTCTCTTAAGTCTAGGGTGGTCATGTCTGACGTCTGACGGTTCGTTGCCGTCTGTTTTAGGTCTTGGATGTTCATTACGCCTCTAGTTGAGCCTTTTCTGATGATGGTTCTACCCAGGGTCTCTGTTGGTCTTCCCCGTTTTCCTTTCCCTTCCAGTGTCCATATGAGAGCTTGATGGCGGAGTCTTTTCTTTTTCCTTCCAGTGTTCATATGAGAGCTTGATGGCGGAGTCTGGTCTTTTCCATTCTGAGTGCATGGCTGATGACTTGGTATGTGGGAATACCATACTGCTCAGGCTTAGTGCTATCTAGAGGAGGAGAGCATTGTGCAAGATTCGTCGTAATACAAGCCAGTCGCGTCGTCGCGAACAAATCTGGGGTCGGGGTGGGGGGGGAGGGGTGTGGTGGAGCACACTGTCCTAACACGGCCCTACCCCGCCTTACAAATTTATAGGCACATACACAAACGCTGCGATTTTTTAGTTGCTCTTACACCAACCACGTATTAAAATTAACAACGAAGAGATTTTAAATCTCAGAGATTTGGAATATTTAGGCTCACTAATAAACAACAGTGGCTACTGAATAAAAGAATTCAGAAGAAGACTTGCTCTAGCAATGCAGAGGCTAAACAGAATGCAGAACCTATGACATAGTTCCTGCAAGCAAGTTAAAGTCAGCATGTTGAGATCGTGTATCTTTCCAGTGACAACTTATGGATGTGAGTCATGGGCTCTCACTTAGTCTTTGAAGAAGAAAATTGAACTTTTGAACTGAAAAATGCTACAGAAAGATTCTTAGAACACCGTGGACCAAGAAAAAGAAAAACGTCGACATCCTGCATGACCTGAACATGAAGGAAAACTTGCTCGTAAAAAGCATCCTCTCGTGAAAGTTGAGGTATTCTGGACATGTCAAGCGCTGTGGTGTCCTGGAGAGAACGGTAGTGGAAGGTGCAGTTTCCGGAAAACGAGGCAGAGGCTAGCTATCGCAGAGGTGGATACAGGACAGTGAAGATGCATTGCCTAAAAAAGCACACAGGGCTGGAGAATTGGCTAGAGGGAAAAAAGAGACTTTCAGGTGTGCCGTGCAATGATCGGCGTGAAAGAGAGACTTTCAGGTGTGCCGTGCAGAGATCGACGTGAAAGAGAGACTTTCAGGTGTGCCGTGCAGAGATCGACGTGAAAGAGAGACTTGCAGGTGTGCCGTGCAGAGATCGACGTGAAAAGGAGACTTTCAGGTGTGCCGTGCAGAGATCGACGTAAAAGAGAGACTTTCAGGTGTGCCGTGCAGAGATCGACGTGAAAGAGAGATTTTCAGATTTTCAGGTGTGACGTGCAGAGATCGGCGTGAAAGGGAGACTTTCAGGTGTGCCGTGCAGAGATCGACATGAAAGAGATATTTTCAGG